AACCGTCTCCTTAACTAATAGTTGGTCAGCGTCAGTAATCCATTAATAGTTGAAACTCTCAGTGTGACTCGATGTTCACTGTAAAATCAACTCCGTTTGGAAAAAGTACCGCAGCAGGTTACTGAATCATAAACTAACGTAAAGTTGCTCTTTAGCAGTTGGATGATGAACAGACCAAGTACGTTAAAGTTAATCAAATAAATCCAGTGTGTGTTTAAAAAAACAAAAGTCATTTCTGCATCTAAGGTGGACTTTAGCTTCAACTTTAGCTCAGGCAGGACCAATGATGGAATGTTCATTAAAGCACAAGATGGCTTTAATAAAACCAACAACGTGTGAGAAAAGCTGGTACTGGATGAAATAAAGAGTTTAAAGCACGACGGTGACGTCGTACCAACCTCCAAGGTCACTAGAATTAGCATGTTAGCATGCTAGCATTTGCTAATTAGCGCCTCAAACAAAATCAGGCCGATGGTTTTTGCAGGTATTTGGTCACAAACCAGATGATCAGCAGGAGTATAATCGGTCATGAGGGAAACGTAAACGTGATGACGTGTTCGCTGCTTTATCTTCATTAATGTTCATGACGTCACTGCACCGAACAGTTTGATCACAAACAGCTTTTTAAACATGAATCTTCGAGTTAGAGTCTCGTAGTTTGGTTTGCAGTGACCGTTTGCTCCAGTTTTAACTCTGAGTGTCGCAGTCGAAGTTAAAAATGTGATCAAAAATAAAAATAATACCAACAGATAATTAAGAAGATGAAGAATCTTTTATTATCCGTCTTTTGTAAATGACAAAGTGCAGAACCCGGGCCGATGCGCTGCAGGACGATAAGAGGCCAGTTCAGCCTGACGCAAACAGATCTGATTTCCACTCGTGTGTTTGTTCTGGTGAGAGTTTAGATAAAGTCTGCAGCGTGTGAGGTCACACACCTGGAGTTAATATTTAGAGTCGGCCGTGAAGCGCATCACAAACGTGTTGGACGGAGCGCGAGCAGTAGCGAGTCTCCCTCGTCCGCTTTCCTCAGAGGATCTTTGTGATTCGTTCGTCTTCGTCATGTCGGTTCTTCCTCTGCGGGTCAGAATGCTGCGGCAGGTCTGGAGGCTGAAGGGCGTCGTCGTGCTCGTGTGCAGCCCGTTCATCCTGCTGCCGCTCGCACTCAGCACCTCGGTGAGACTCACCCACCACAATACCAGCTTACTGAGCACTAACCAGTCTGAATAACCAGTTTACTGAGCAATAGGTAGGCTGATTAACCAGTTTACTGTCCACTAACCAGTCTAAATAACCAGTTTACTGACTGCTGACCAGTCAGGATAACTAGTTTAGTGAGCACTGACTAGTCTAAATAGCAAATTTAATGAGTACGAACCAGTTGAATGAGCTCTCACCAGTCCAGATAACCAGTTTGAGGACTAAACATTTTAATTAATCAGTTTACTGACTGCTGACCAGCTAGATAACCAGTTTACTGAGCACTAACTGTTCTAAATAACATTTTTTCTGAGCACTAGCCAGTCTAAATAACCAGTTTATTGACCGGTGACCAGTCCAGATAACCAGTTTACTGAGCACTAACTAGTCTAAGTAGGAGATTTAATGAGTACTATCCAGTTGAATGAGCTCTAACCAGTCCAGATAACCAGTTTGAGTACTTAACATTTTAATTAACCAGTTTAATGAACACTAGCCAGTCTGAATAACCAGTTTACTGACCACTGACTAGTCCAAAAAACCAGTTTGAGCATGAACCAGTCTAAACAAACTGTTTAATATACACTAACTAGTCCAGATAACCACTTAACTGAGCACTAACTAGTCTAAATAGGAGATTTAATGAACTCTAACCAGTCCAGATAATCAGTTTGAGTATTAAACATTTGAATTAACTAGTTTACTGACCACTAACTAGTCCAAATAGTCCATTTACTGAGCAGTAACTAGTCTAAACAACCAGTTTAAGTGTTTTTAATATTTTGTCCCTTCATGTATAAAAACTATTTAACGTTAACGAACCATTAGTGGACTTAATCGTGTTTCTGACGACAAGCTTCTCGTTAATTTAGTCTCGCTGTCGGATGAATCGTCCGTCTTTGTGCTCGTTTCCTGCGGCTGTCCTCCTGAATGTTGGCCGCTCCAGGCCTCCGTACCGACCGACCGGCGGCGTTTCACTGATCAATAACTCGAGCAGCTTGTTTGAGCTGCAGCTTCTCGGCGGTGGTCACTGATTGACAAACCGTCAGGAAAAGGTCACGTTGCTTCTGGGAGAAACTCCAAGAAGACTTCTGGACGGTTGATCTGAAGATTTGTGACAGAACGGAGAAAAAAAACAACAACTTTTAACTTTGTTCTTTTAGCTTCAACTGATTTTAAATGTAATTATGGCGTTAGTAACTGAAAAATAAGAATTAAAACCGTTTATTTCTTTAATGTAAAAGCAAATATCTGTAAAATAATGATCACCAGGAGCTTTTATTAGAGGCGTCAGTTTACAGTCAGAAATGTTCAAATGTAGAAATAATTTAAAGCTTTATTCTGGGTTTTCTTTTGAATAAATAATTTCTTTAAATTGACAAAACAGGAAAAGAAAATCTGCAAATGTAACAATAATATATAAAATAATAGGAAGTGATGATGTGGGCGTCATGTAGAGTTTATTTTCTGATGTAAATTATTTCTTTTTTATTATTCATCTGCAATTTAACAAAACAGGGAAATTTGTAAAATAATAATAAAAAAATATTGACTATTTTTCTGATCTTAATGGACAAACTTTTTATTTCAAATAACAACAAACATCTGACAAAATAACTTAAATACTGTAAAAAAGTAATTTTACAGTCACGCTGTAAAACAACAGCCATTTATTAAAATATAGATGTTTGTTGTTGTGGACCTTATTTACAGTGTTGGTCCGTTTTTTGGAGCTAATTAAGACTATTTCTGGGATTTTACTAATTATTATGTTTAATTTAATAAAACAGGGAATATCCGTAAAAAGTTTAAAAAATACTTTAGAAAGTCGTCGTCTTTGTTTGCTGCTCTAAATGTTTCTGTCACTGGTGATAATTAATCAGCTTAAGTTTAAAGTCAACAAACGAGGAGTTCTCGGCGTCTCCGGTCGCAGCGGGTCTGAGGGATTCGTCGGTTCTTTGACTTCACGTGAATGAAAACCGACGGCGTGTTTGGACAGAAGCTGCAGCTTTTCTACGCATCGTTTCCTCTCAGCGTCTCAACACGATCTGAGCCGAAGCAGTTAAATATTAAAAAAACAACAGATAATAAAATGCAGTTTCTCGTGTTACGTAACTCTGACATTCAGGAGTTTTTAGTTAAACATTCAACAGAAACCTGTTTTCGTTTGACGCCGTCCTTCCTGCAGCTGAAATGTTTACCTCCAACTTTAACTTTTAGTTCAGATTTGACTGTTTTTGTTTGTTTGTTTTTTATGTTAAAACTGAAAGTAACGTGTGATGAGTTCAAGGAACGTCGGAAATTAAAAACCCCCATTTACTCATGTTTAAATAGGACGGTCAGGGTTAGAAGAGCTTCTTCTTGGTCTCAATAACATCTCGAAAACGTTCCTGCATTGAGAACGTCCTCTCTGTGTCGTCACCGTAGAAACGTTCTATAATGTGTTCTCCTGGAGACCAACGTTCCACCGTTTGTTAATACGTCACAGCACAGGAACGTCTCGTGAAGAACGTTCTGCCGTCTGAGGTCTTGAAAACATCCAGAAAACGCTTTTTGCTCGTCAGTTTGAGAACGTTCCCCGTGTTGTAACAGAACGCTTCGAGGGCGTTTCATGGAACAACATTCTGTGATGTGTTCCTTCAAGAACGTCCCTAAAACGTCTTCAGAGCGTTGCAACCGGGATGTTCCACCTTCGCTAACACATCACAACAATGGAAAGGTTTCTGGCAAGTCGACAGCCTAACGTCGATAACATCTGGAAAACGTTGGGTTGAGAACGTTCCTCCTTTGGCATCATGGAACCTAATCTGTGTTCCTGAGAACATCCTCCGAATGTTGACATTAGAACGTTATATTAACTTCACAGGAACATGCCTGGACAGTAAACTGATTTGATTAGAACATTTTCTTTAGAACTTGCGGGTCCCGTCGTCCACACAGTGGAAACGTTCTCCTACGTCCCTCAGGAGGCGGTGGAGACCCAAAGCGGAGCTAAAAGACGGAACATTGCGCTCAGGTGGACCCAAACGTGACTCCGTGTGAACGTTCGTGTTTTTCTGCAGAGTTCACAGCACGAGTCTGCGTCAACACGTCTCCCGTTCTCCACAAACACAGCTCTTGTTTTGACAGCGCCGTATGTTACATAAGAACAGCGGTGGAACGTATCGGTGGATGTTTACTCAAGAACGCGTCTCCACGTTCTGCCCTCGACATCTCAGAATCCATTACAGATAAAAGCCGGACGTTTCCGCTGGTGCTTCTCATCGTGTTGTTGATTCAGGATCTGGAATGTTTGACAGGTTGATCAAATAATGTCTGAAATAGGACAAAAATATTCAAGCTGTCTCACCATAAAGCATCGATGCAGCCTCATCCAGCCTCTGACTCTGTTTCAGTTAAATAAAAACCCCAAATGATCACATGACACGTTATGTTGAAGAACAAGCAGGTTTTAAACTGACTGTATGTGAAGTAGCTGCCACCTCAACGAGATTCCGTCAGAAGCAAATTCACTTAATTTTCCAAAATGTTCGATATTTACGTAAAACAAACATGAACTAAGAATCAGGTTCATTTGTTCTCTGTTTGCTCTCCAACAAAACCACCAAATTTAAATGTAAACTTGTGGAATTTGTTGGTATTAACCTGAAGTCTGTTTGTTTGTTTGTTTGTTTGTTTGTTTGTTTGTTTGTAGGAGGCGGCCTGTGCTTACGTCATCGCCCTCATGGCGGTCTATTGGTGCACTGAGGTTCTGCCGCTGGCGGTGACGGCGCTGCTGCCGACCATCCTGTTCCCCATCCTCGGCATCATGGAGTCCAAAGACGTAAGACTGGACAAGAGTTCTGATCAATACCATGCAGGTCAATAGTATCGATCAGTTACGTGTATAACAGACTGGAGAGTCTTTATCTCACTGCACTGAGGATGTATGGATTTGAAAACAACATTCACGCCTGTTTTCTTACGTTGTCCAACATCTAGTCTAGAATGTCAACAACAGAACATCATAAAACTCAGACATAAACACCATCATGTACGTTAAAATGAGACCAGGGCCTCCTGCCAGAAAGCCTCCCCATAACATGATGCTGCCACCACCATGCTTCATCATGATGCTGCCACCACCGTGCGTCATGTCATGATGCTGCCACCGCCGTGCTTCATCATGATGCTGCCACCGCCGTGCTTCATCATGATGCTGCCACCGCCGTGCTTCATCATGATGCTGCCACCGCCGTGCTTCACAATAGGGATGGTGTGTTTGTGACGTGGAGTGTTTAGTGTCTGCTGACAAAAACAGACAGACAGCTGAAAAACAGGCAACAGCTGCCAGAAAGATCAACTCCTTCAGACGAGTCCTAGGAGTCTTGGTGACCTCCTTCACGAGTCTCCTTCTTGTCCGTCTCTCAGTTTTCGAGAACGTTCTGCTCCAGTCAGATCTACTCATGTTCCATTTTCCTTCTATTTCTTAATTACGGATTTCACTGGACTCCAAGAGATTCAGTGACTTGGAGGTTTTCTGGTATCATCTCTTGGAGTTCTGATCCACCGGTGGCTGGACCTTCCAGATACACGAGTCTTTATGCTACAAACACTCAGATGATCCGTTTGCTAACTGTGTTCACGAACTCGTGCTTCTTTGCAGCCTGATGTGTCAAGTTGACGTTTTTTTTTCAGGTCTGAACGGGGCAACGCAGCCACAAGGCAACTCAGAGAAAACCGGCAACCACCAAGGCAACACATCTCCGGAGCAGAAAGAGGGCTGGATGGACAAGCAGGAGATCAGCAAACCAACAGCACAGCACAAACCTCCTGGTCCTGGTGAGTCCACAGAGCAGGAATGAAAACTCTCATCGGATAGATTTTCTCACTTCGGAGCAGCTGCTGGTTTCTGCTGTTTTCACACCAACTCGATGAAACCTGTGATGTTTTAAATGTTGAACAGCTCACAGCAGGATTGTATTTTTCTTCTGAAAATGTTCCGAGAAAGTTCTGCAAAGTTCTAACGGTTCTAACTAATGGTCTTAAAAGCAGGATGTTTGGACCGTTAAGCTTCAACGTTCTTAAAACGTTCTCTAAGTGTTGATTTGTTGTCGTGTAACGTTGTGAGGAGGTTTTATAGAAGAACTGCAGCGAAATGTTCCACTTTTGTTAAAATATCAGATCACTGGAACGTTTCATGAAGAATGTTCTGTTGTCCGAGGCCTCGGTAACATCTGGAGAACGTTTTTTAAATATCGGTTTGAGAACGTTGACAAAACGTTCTGTCTCAGGTCCCCTTTAACCTCACAGAGATGTTCGTAAAACGTTCTCAGAAAACTCTGCAGAGTTCCTGGAACGTCTCCAGGGAGAAGTTTGTTTTTAGTTCCGAGAATGTTCCCAAGAACGTTCTGAAAACATTTGGTGATCACACTGTTAGATCGTTGTGCCCTAACCTTCGTAAAACGTTGCACTGAAAACATTGTTCTTCTGTTTTCCGGGAACGATGTGGGAACGTTTTATAGAAGAAAGTTTCCTCAGAACTCTGCAGGAAAAAGTTCCACTTCTGTTAATTGTAGAGTTTTGAAAGTTGAAGCTCGACAGAAGTTAAACTTTCAGCTTAAGTCTCCACAATGTTATGCACAGTACAGAAAAAAATTTAAATATGTGCATAAAAACTAAGGTGTCGCCCAGATGAAATACGTTTTTACACAAAAACACAACAAATCCAAAGACATCAGTTTCTGTAATACAACAAGAAAAAGTCTGAATGTTTGAATAAAACTGTTCTGAACGGTTTCCTTCTGGCTGTTAGCCGTCCTGGAGAACGTCTGCTGCCCGATGGAGCTGGAGGAGCAGAGCGACGAGGCCGAGGAGTCGAGGAGGATGAGCAAAGGCCTCCTGCTGAGCGTCTGCTACGCCGCCAGCATCGGAGGCATCGCGACACTGACGGGAACCGGACCCAACCTGGTTCTGATCGGACAGATGAACCAGTGAGTCGCACTCTTGATCCGCAGCTCACATCAGAACCACGACGCATCTGGTCAAAGCTGAGCGCTGATGGAGCCAAAAAATGTCAGAATGAGACGCTGCTGCCAGCAGAACGCTGTTGGAATAACAAATAAAGTTTAATGATCCATTTAAAAATCAAACAAAGAACAACGAACAAAGAAACTGAGCTAGCTGGGATAGCATCTCAGTAGTTTACTTCCTGGGTTTAAATTTCGATTATTGATTGACTACGATGCAAAGTGTTGATTAGGAAAATCCCACTTGTTGAAAAAGGTGCTTCAAAGCAAGCTGTAAACACGACACGACTAAAACCTGAATGTACGAACACTGAATCCAACTTGTCATGACTTCAGCAGCTGATTTGTTTCTTTGCTAATGTGCTGGAGGCGTTCGAGTCCTTCTGCTGCATGAATCAGGAACAGGAAACGAGTTTGAACGACCGAATCCAATTAAACTCCAGTGTGAAGGTTTTATTGCTTATTTCTGAAATGAAATGTTCTGGTTCTCGCAGACTCTTCCCTCAGAACGGTGACGTGATCAACTTTGCGTCCTGGTTTGTGTTCGCCTTCCCCACCATGGTTCTGATGCTGGCGCTGGCCTGGTTCTGGCTGCAGTTCCTCTACGTCGGCTGCAAGTGAGTTTTTACCAAAACCCCAAAACAGACGCTCGACCTTCTGCTCACGTTTTATAGATAACATCTAGAAAACATTTTTTTGAGCG